ATACCACTAGTGTTTTAGACTAATTATCTTGTTTTGTTCACACGTGTGTAGTAAAAACACACTAAGGAGTCCATCTGAATTATTAAATTTTATATCTTATACTGACATACCGAGCCTAGAATCGAGACGTGTTCGTCATAAATGATCCAGTTATGTCGTTCAGAATTCATAATGGAAAGGAGTTCTGGTTTTTTAAAATTATATTACAAGTTTTTTTTTTATAACTTATTCATCCCTGCAGTATTAACATTGTCAAATCACACATGAGAGCTATCTAAAATTATCTATTTAGATACTTCTTTGTTCTTAAGAGCAGTGAAACGACTTTTTTCCGTGTGTTTGTTTGTATTTGTGTTATGACAAATATATATGAAGTGTACACCTTATGAACAATGATAGTAAAGATTTTACTAAATATTCTCTTTTTAATAGTAACATTTGTTTATCGAAGTCCATTGGTGCCAATTAATTGATAGTAACATTTGTGTATCGAAGTTTATTGGTGCCAATTAATTGATAGTAACATTTGTATATCGAAGTCTGCTGGTGTCAATTAATTGATAGTAACATTTGTGTATCGAAGTTCATTATTGTCAATTTATTGATAGTAACATTTGTGTATCGAGGTTTTTTGGTGCCAATTAAAATCTTAAAAAGAATCAAATATTGTGACTACAAACGATAAGTATTTCGTGTGTTCGCAAAGGTACTGCGTGATTGCTTGTGTTTGCAAAAGTATTGCGTGTTTTCATAAACGTATTGCGTAAATGGAATATTTTTTTTTCTCTTAAAATTTCATTTGGCACCAATGGGCTTCCGCCTGTATCTCACTGTAAATTAAGATAGGCCCTGTGCTTGTTAAGAATTGTAACATTCTGTTTAAAAAAATTGATAACAAAGATAGCATTATCATTTAAGATTATACAAAAGAAATGGATTTACGTATATGTACGCATAACTTGTTTCCTGCTACAGAAGTGAAATCTACCGACTAAATTGAAGGATGGTTTTCACATGTCCAGCTTCAGTCTAAACTATTTGTTAAGCTATATATATATATATATATATGGTTTTCGTCAGCTCACAAAGCTTGACCGTTGGTGACAGTAACCAGGTGACGCTCTCTACACCCGAGTTTGTTATACACTTCCCTCACTTCTGCGGTACACATGTTGAGAAAACCTGTAACAAGATGGGACAACATATTTCTTTATTGCGTTTTCTGTCGTAAGGCAGACAGTGTGACATTGTTACTAGTAAATTATACCCATATACATCATGTTCTTTTAAAATCATCCAGTATTGGCCATTCATTAAATCACGATACCTGAGCTTTTCAGCATTCCCCACTATTCGTGACATCGTACAGTTTAATCTATATTGATCCATCAAATATTTTCTACATCTGCTTTCTAAATCTTCTGTATACAATTGTGTGAGAATATTGAATTAAGATAAATTATAAGATACCTAAACGTGTCTTCAGTGGGTGAAATGTCCGCTTTAATGTCACTGTATTATCTTAGGCGTTCTTTTCTGATACTCTGTTGCTATTCAATTACTTTGCGTTTCCATTTTCGGAAACAGAACCCCTCTATCTGTGCAGTACACCAATCAGTTTTTGAAAGTTCGGGTAACGCGGTGGTGAGTACTCGCCTCTCGCCCAACCATCCGGAGTTCGATTCCACGAGCGGACGTGAACAGGTAAAGGGTCAGCTGATCGACCACGTGGACCAAGTTTCCGCGGGTACTTCCGTTTCCGCACAAAGTAAGATCCTTAATCAAATAAAAGTTGGATAAATTGTTTCGTTGTTGTTGTGAAATAAAATGTATATCACACATTTCTCTTGAATTCATTTTTTGATAGGAAGACTGAAGTATCTTATAACAAACGTACGACCCACTATAAACATACCTGATGATTCCGTTACTGTTAACACGGTTCTTACTTAGGAACGTGACATTATTCGGATTAACCAAGAATTACATGATGGCGGTCGTCGATGAAGAGAACACGCTTACCATTCTGGAACACCTGGTCTTAATCTCCGTGTACATTTTCAGTAGTCTCAGTGTAAAATCTTTAATGCTTATTTTGATCTATTTTCATTAAATTTGCGTTCTGTTGATTCTGTTGACATGCCAGTATTTTTGTTATGGTGATCTTAAGGTGCAGGCTACAACTACTTTGTACAATGTGAAATGATCACTTGTATAGTGTATTGTCATTTAAAACACTGTGATAGACTAAGCATATAAACGGTACTTTCATGTGAAATAAATAGATAAACACACAAGACATCAGTAAAACAATTTTTATTTTTACAACCTTTTGAATGGTTTAGAATTATCATAAGTAACATTTGCCAGGAATGTTTGTGACCAGAATTAAAAAACAAACGAAAATTGTAATACAGCTGAAGAAGTTATGAAGTACATTTTAATCATTTTCACCCCTTCCTTCCATACATTTGTAAAGAATAAGTTAATACTATATAAACATATCACAATCAGCTTCATAAATATAAATCACATCCGTATTTCACAACAGAATCTATTTACATACACACAGCATTTTTATGTTTGACATTTAAACAAATTTGTTAATTTAAATAGGAGTTATAAATTGGTGTTAATGTGTATATTTCAAAGTAATTTGACAAATCCAAGTTACTTTTATTGACCCTGGTAAAACTTTTATCTCGAATGTTTCTTCTACTATATAAGCAATGTTTCTTTCATAACCAAACTTTTCTCTCATAAGAAAACACAATTATTTCACAAAGGATCTATTTAAATAATTAAGCAGGATGAAACTGAACCTGCTGAAGGATCGAGGTCATATTATTGAAAACGATATCATAGAGATACTTTCTCCATCTTAAATATCGTTTAAAATTATTTCTGATATTAAGTACAGAGATGGCACCACATTGTGGTACAGAGAGTGCAAAGTTTATATAGCTTAAAGATATATCGAGTGTGTCATACCGGTACAATCAGGTGTATTGAAAGCAAAATAACAATTTTTATGTATTGAAAATATTCAAGAAAATTTTTTCAAAAGAAAATACAAAAACTTCACAAAACAACCCACCCCTTAGCAAAATTTGTCATTTTGTGTCCGTTTTTTTTTTATTTCCATACTGTAACACTGACAACATTAGTTTTATTGAGAAACATTTGATAGAAATCATCAAATATTTCTCATATTGATTGTAATAATGATATGTAGATATATATTTGATATGTTTCACGAACTCCAATAAATACCACATACATGGTAGACAGTTAATAAACCTCATACAACATTTATGTAAAAGTGTCACGACAAATCACATTCATTCAAAAACACTTACACAGCGTTTGACGATTTTTTCAAACAATCAACACATTGATGAATTCAATTAACACAGGTTTACAACATGTTTCTCATCCCTCCCTCCGAGAACTGACTATCCCTCCTGTATATGTTGTTGTGTGAGTAGTCTATACTTGTATATAATATACTTTGGTAAGATCATCCTATTTACATCAACACCAACTCATGGTATTATTATCGCAAGAATACTCAACTCTTATCCGTTAATTTAAAATAAAAGTACAGTAATATTTTGAAATAGATCTGATCTGCCACAAATCTGTTGACTTCACATGCAATAAATTTAGAACGGATGACACTCAACACTGCTATTAAGCCTTTCTTATGTTGTCATGGCCACAACGGTTACAGTTGGTAGTCCATTTACGTTGTGAAAAAACTTTTTAGATACTGCAGATGAAAATCATCAAAACAATTCATTTCAAACACGACAGACTTCTAAAAATAAAAGATGGATCTACTTCTAAGTCTGATCATGACAAAATACCAAACCAGTTGACAAAAGCATTGTTTGTACATTACAGTGTTTCACTGATAAACCAAACATTTCACTTTCTAGAGGTAATATAATGCTGAAAAATATGAAGTGGTTGATTTTACACATAAACAGATAAAAATATTTACAATATCATAACTTCTTTTTTTGGTAACCACTCGATAACATGAATACAGAAAAACAGAAATATAGCAAAATATATATTTTTTCAAACAAACATTAATTTATGATCTTTACTTTACAAATCACAAGCAAATATCAACTCTAGTACCATAAAAATGATCACACAACTTACGAAAAATAAATTCAAGCATTTCTAATGAATGTTTAATACTGCTTCCTGCAAGAAATTTGAAATTCCAATCAGCACTTATATTTACACAAGTTCAAAAATATATAAGAAATGACACTATGAAAATGACAAATACTTTGTGTATAGGAGATCTTCAGACATTTTGAAAACAAATAAATAAGAAACTTATAAAACACTATGGACGGATTTGATACTTCAAGTTCATTCTAACGTAACCAGTAAATTCATTGGATCAAAGTCTAGGTCATACATCAATTCAGCTAAGTGATTAACCAATCAGAAATTGTTACCACACTAGCTGACCAATCACATGGGATAATCTTGACTAAATACCCAATCAGACACCCTGTTAGATATTGTCTTCAGGTTAACCAAATTACCCAACAGAATATAGTTCATTCTCACCAAAAAATCTAAATTTGCACAAAACCGTTTATACATATTGCTCCAAATTTTTGAGTAAGTGGGAATCCAGTTAAGATGAATTTCTCTGTATCTGTTCAATATTTCTGGATAACTGCTGAATATCAATATTATGCATTAAATGAAAAGATATCAAATTCTCCTTTTAACTACAGGTCTGAAACTGATAACTGCTGAAACAGTTAAATCAGTACCGCGAGTTTCATTAAAACACAAATTATGTATACCTGTCAAACATCACGGTGCATCAGGTGTACATAATTCATAAATTTCAGAATTTTTCAAATTTTCAAAATCCAATCAGACAGAAAGAGTAACTTAAAATTTATCATAATTAATAATGTAACTTTTTCAAAACAGAGGTTTTTATATGTACGATAGCTTGATGTGTAGAATATTTTTTCCAATGACATTCCAAAAAGTTGGCAAGTATGTTACAGAAAGAAAATCCCATTTTTCATCGAGATCTAAATTTTGTACAGGACCCCTGTCCCAAAAGAATCATTATGAAACAAGCACATAGTACAGCTGAACCTTGTTAACTCAAACTCTTATAACACAAAGACTCTGTATAATTCAGACTATTTCGTCAGTTGTGGCCAAACTTCACACAAAATATTTTACCTAAATTTTCTTGAATACTAGGATAACTCAAAGCCTTCCTGTGGTCCCGACGACTTCGATATAAGAAGGTTCGACTGTACTTTCCCTTCAATGCTAGTTGTTAAAATTTCTTAATATTAACATGAACTCCTGGCAAAGATTGCTTCCCAAATGCAAAAAAGTATGAATATTCATATTTTATATCATGTTTAGACCATGAACAAATCAAAATGTGTTAAAAAGTATTTTATACCCTACTGTCTTTCCAACACATTCGATCCTTAGCTTGGATCCTCGGCTCTTGGTAGGTTCTTTCTTGTGAACCATTTTAAAGCAAATGTTCTCATCTATTTTTTCAAACTTGAATTACCTGTGAGCAAATTTTAACTTCAAAACTGATCTGATTTGAAGAACTGAGAATATTTTCAAAATTTACAATATTCTGTGATTCTAAGTTGAACACATCTCCTTGTTGTCGCCCTTTAATACCATATTTTCCCTAAAATATTGATTACCAGAATATAAAAAAATATTTCACTTTTATCCCTGTCATAATAAAAAAGACATCTCTAATTTCAACTTGAGATCAAGTAACTACCATTCTTCTCGAATCTTTGAAATCTTTTTAATGTCTATAGCTCTGTTAGTCCAAAGTCGCCTCACTGTTTTGTTGTCTTTGGCACAATCTCCACCTGACTTCCTGGAATCAGCTTGTCAAAGAAAAACCTCAGCATGTTGTGGGCCTGTAAAAAAAACAAAATGTTTTTACAAGTAATATGACTTCAACATTGCATCTCTACCAAATCTTGTGGCTTTGAAATATAAAAAACTTGAACAAACTGCATCTTTGCCAAAAACACTTGTTACTTTTCAACATATTCAGTATCATCTAAAGCATGGAATATATTCATCTGAATATGTTAAATAGATTTGAACATTAATATTTCATCATCAAAATGATATTTCATCAAGAAATTTGTAAATTCCCCAAAACAATAGCAGCAAATAAGGAATGAAATGGCAGCACAGGTTGATGAATTTGATCAGGTACATTGACACAAAAAGATACAAAAAATACATTTCATTTAGTCATCAGGTGTACACTTGTAGCTTACAACAGTAAAAACCATCCATTATTTGTATAAAGCACTACAAGCACCAGACTCGACCTCAGCTGGTGTATTTAACATAGAACCTGATTGGTTTGAACATATGATATTAAACCAAACATGTATGGCTTCCTTGGCTACGTTGTCAACTGTATATAGAACAGAAGTAGGCGCATATGTTGATGGTGTGGGATGGTGAAGGACAAGGTCTCTCCGGCAGTCAATGAGTTCTGTGGCATTTAATATCTCATGATGGTCAATGGCCAAGCTTTATTAGCCAATCTGTGTCATCCACCTAACCTGATTTCATTATAAAATATTTCAAAAAATCAAAAACATGTTTGACGAAATTAAAGAAACATTGATTAGACAAATGTAGAAGGATTTTAAACATTTGCTCTTTTTCCCTGCTCCAGACTCACCATTTAAAGAAAATTGATCCCATTCAACCAAGGATACTTCAGACCATAGAATCAAAGCATTCCAACAGAAAAAGAATAAAAAATTCCCTCTATTTCCCCTAAGCATTAGGCCCTGCCCCTTCTGTCCAGGGATGCACAAGACCACACATTTTAATAAAATGGATTCCCTTTCACCCAAGGACTCTGACCCAACATAACAAATTTCAATCACTCCTACAGATTCAGAATTCAAGGTTTTAAAACATTTCCCTAGTTCCTAGGTAACAAGACCAATCATTTACACAAAGTTTATTCACCTTTCCCCAAGCATGCTTCTGACCAAATCTGGTCATAACTTACCGAGTTGTCTATGACTAATAGCAATTTTTAAAAACTGACTGATGATGTGGTATGGCAGAAGCTCAACAGTCTTTCCAATAAGGGAGATAAAAATGTTTCTCCTGATGTTTTCAGACTTTTTTTTCATTAATTCTTTCATTAAATACAAAAAGAAACAACGAACAAAAAAGTGATCGTGACAACAATTCATATCAGTATTTACTCACAAATACAATAAATTCAACCTCAACACTTTAATGAAATAACTTAGAAACTGTCATATTCTATAAGATCACTGATTAAAGCTATGGCTGCAGAAACATCGTCATGAGAAACACTTCTACCACAGAGGAACGCGGGAGGACTCCAGATGATATCTAGGTCAGCCTAAAACACCGCATCTGCCCTTACTATACATAAAGGAAATTTCACACATTCCAGCGAATCACACCAAACCTGGTTATGAGATTTTTTTTATCATATCTAGGGATTCCTGGTCATCATTGCTGGATTTTCCAATTTGCCAAATGTGTCGATAAATCATTTCTTTAGCATGCCCATTTCATTTCATGCATGCATGCTTGTGAAATGATTAAACCATTTGCTTTATATCAAGATTGTACTCTTTTGCACATGTATAACATCAATTTTCTACAGAGTAATTTGACATTAATTACCGACTTGATTTCAATTCAACAATTCGAGTGTAATTGTATTTTCCGAGTTCTGGTCTGACATGACACCCTGTCATACCCTTAACTTTACTCACTTGGACTCTCTGACACTGAAATGGAATAATCCATCACATAGATGGTCATCTTGTCCTGTGTCACGTAATTGAGCAGTTTCCATATCACAATTTATATTTTGTAAGATTCAATGTTTATTTAATACTTTTACCAAAAGTAAAAAATTGTTGCCTTATAGAACATAGCCTTTCATATATAAAATTCCAAAGATTTGAATGAAATTTTTTCTACAATTGAAAATGAAATTTGAAGTCTGCATATTCATGCATGTGTGATGAATTTGGTAATGTAAATGTTATATCATTATTTACTGTTATTCCTATATTTGATTGAATCCTTTGAAAAACTATTCAATATTTCATTAAAATATTTCTACATTCTGGTGTCTTTAAGTGGAGGAAAAAATGAAAAAAAAGTATTTACATGAATTTAAACCAAAAAGTTATAATAAATAATTAAAAAAAATTTTTTTTTTTTTTCAAATGTTTACTTTTGATTTTCGATAATTTCATTACCAAAATGAAAAATAATGCATTGTATGATGTCCAATCTAATTACGATATTGCCAGCCATCCTATCTAGGTAGATGCTGTATCTCCCACCAGTGTTCAATGCTCCTGTTACAACAATACTATCTCTGTGACAGCTGTCATCACCTACCATACATCACTCCAAGTAGTCATGACACTAGACAAACAGAACACTCTGCTGCATTGCTATATAGAATTGAATTTAAAAAAAAAAAAAAAAGCTGTGATTCCAATTTTTATTATTGGATACAAGAGAAAAAATCACCTGTACCAATGCATGGTGATTTTTACAAATTTTTACCAATCAATTTATCATTCAACATATCAACCTAAATTATGGTCACCAAAGTGTTTTAACCATCAATATAATTGTTAGCAACATATATGCTGAGGTCACTTTTATTTGAGAATGTCAAATATGATTGACCCTGATTGTGGCCAGAGGTTTATATCTCCATATAAACCATGCATCTCCAGAAAACTCACAGTAGTACAGAATGACAAAACTTTACTGTTTCAGTCAACTGATCAGACCTATATTTAATAGTTTTTGAAATTACACTGCCATGACAAATCAATAGAGACACCACACAACTACAAATGCAAGTAACTCACTGAAATTAAATAATGATTAATACATCTCCAGTGAAAATGTGATGTCTTAAAGTCCACCTCTATATTACAAGTACCTGTCTTTAAAGGACACACTCAACTCAATCAGCGAATGAGTGACTGGGATTCTGAGAAATTGAGATTTGGTAAGAGATTGTGGCCTCTAGGGGTTTAAACTTATAATTTATAATACTGTATATAAATGGAATCTGCTTCCATTTGACTTCTAGAAAATGTATAGTTTTAACACATATCAATGTATTGGAGCTAATTCAGACAAGTGTAAAATGTCAGGGTTATTCCTTCATTTGTAAACTTCCAGTTGTTTATAATGTATACCTGTCTATAAAGGTTATGTGTATACAATAAATAGCTGTCTATAAAGGTCACATGTTTATAATGAATACCTGTCTATAAATACATGTTTATAATGTATACCTGTCTATAAAGGTCACATGTTTATAATGAATACCTGTATATAAAGATTATGTGTATACAATGAATACCTGTCTATAAAGGTCACATGTTATAGTGAATACCTGTCTATAAAGGTCACATGTTTATCATGAATACCTGTCTATAAAGGCCACATGTTTATAATGAATACCTGTCTATAAAGGTCATGTATATACAATGAATACCTGTCTATAAAGGTCATGTGTTTATAATGAATATCTGTCTATTAAAGTCATGTGTTTATAATGAACACCTGTCTATAAAGGTCATGTGTTTATAATGAATACCTGTCTATAATGGTCATGTATATACAATGAATACCTGTCTATAAAGGTCATGTGTTTATAATGAATACCTGTCTATAAAGGTCACATGTTTATAATGAATACCTGTCTATAAAGGTCACATGTTTATAATGAATACCTGTCTATAAAGGTCACATGTTTATAATGAATACCTGTCTATAAAGGTCATGTATATACAATGAATACCTGTCTATAAAAGTCATGTATATACAATGAATACCTGTCTATAATGGTCATGTGTTTATAATGAATACCTGTCTATAAAGGTCACATGTTTATAATGAATACCTGTCTATAAAGGTCACATGTTTATAATGAATACCTGTCTATAAAGGTCACATGTTTATAATGAATACCTGTCTATAAAGGTCATGTGTTTATAATGAATACCTGTCTATAAAGGTCATGTGTTTATAATGAATACCTGTCTATAAAGGTCATGTATGTACAATGAATACCTGTCTATAAAGGTCATGTATGTACAATGAATACCTGTCTATAAAGGTCATGTATATACAATGAATACCTGTCTATAAAGGTCATGTGTTTATAATGAATACCTGTCTATAAAGGTCATGTATGTACAATGAATACCTGTCTATAAAGGTCATGTATGTACAATGAATACCTGTCTATAAAGGTCACAATGAATACCTGTCTATAAAGGTCACCTATTTATAATGAATACCTGTCTATAAAGGTCATGTATGTACAATGAATACCTGTCTATAAAGGTCATGTATGTACAATGAATACCTGTCTATAATGGTCATGTATATACAATGAATACCTGTCTATAAAGGTCATGTGTTTATAATGAATACCTGTCTATAAAGGTCACATGTTTATAATGAATACCTGTCTATAAAGGTCATGTGTTTATAATGAATACCTGTCTATAAAGGTCATGTATGTACAATGAATACCTGTCTATAAAGGTCACATGTTTATAATGAATACCTGTCTATAAAGGTCATGTATATACAATGAATACCTGTCTATAAAGGTCATGTGTTTATAATGAATACCTGTCTATAAAGGTCATGTATGTACAATGAATACCTGTCTATAAAGGTCATGTATATACAATGAATACCTGTCTATAAAGGCAATATGTTTATCATGAATACCTCTCTATAAAGGCCAAATGTTTATAACGAATACCTGTCCAAACAGGTCACTGGTTTTTGCTCTCCATGCAACAAAAAAAAAATAATAACGCTTAATGAAGGTCTTCAAACA